GCAACGGGAATGATAACTTTTGTTTTTCTCTTGTTTACTACCTCTTGAATCCCCAGGAAAGCGCGAAAATCGAACCACTGTCAAATAGGGCATTCTCTGTTACCTCTTACATGAAGTGGGGTATTGCCAATTGCATTATGGTATAGAATTTTAGCTGTGGGAGCATTGGAGGTCGGAGTATAGACATATAGGAATATTTTTGGTTGAATATGGCTGGGAAAAGGCATAGAAGTCGTTTCAGAAAAACACGGAAAGGAAAAGGGTTTAGTGGGGTTCCTTGGTACGCAAAATCGGTGGAAAAACCAGTGTTGGAAGAGGATGAAATTGCTCGCTCAAAACCGGAGATGCCCCACGAGAGTCACGAGGAGTTATTGGAAACAAGTGACATGGAAGGCTCAGACACGGAGCTTGATCAACCGGAGAGTGCATCTAGAAAGAAGATGAAGCTGTACAACTCCGAAGATGACAGTTCTGAAAGCTCAGAAAGCGAAACAGAAACTAAGAAAACTAAATTAGTGGAGGCAGAGGATGGTTACAGACTGGTCCATTTGAAGAACTTATCTTCAGTCCTTTCCAATGTGCACAGATGCGAGGAAGGTGAGTAAAGCAACATGAAACTTGTAGGACAGTTTATTTAACCAAATGTGTTTGAAATTGAAATTATAAATATAAATGTATGTAAGCAAATTTTATATATTTTAAAAATTATTGTGCATTAGTATTGTGGGAGCAGTGGGTATAGGGGGTATATGACAATAAAATTTTTGGTTGCTTTTACATTTTTGAAGAATGTATCTGTTTTTCAAATACACTATAATTGGTTTTAGGGAATCTGACTATTGAAGAGAACACTGGTAGGCGTGCAGGGCTGATGTCTGATCTTTCCATATGCTGTGATGGTTGTGATGAAGACACCACATTACACACCTCAGTCAACATCTCCAAAAGAGGAAGGTCATTTGACGTAAACAGAGGGGCTGTCTACCACTCAATTGAGACTGGTTGTGGTTACGAAGGACTTGCATCATTCTGCAGTATTATGAA